TGCTGCCCCGACTCCTCCTCCTCCTCGCCGCCGGGATTGAGGCCCACCCGGCGGAGCTTCTGATCCAACAAGGGCTACTAGCCAGCCAACCACTAAACGTGTATACACTATGGTGGAAGCCTATATTTGGTATGAAAGCCACAATAATAGTATAGCTGACCGCAATGATAACTGGTTTAAAGTAAGTAATCAGTCTTCTGTAGTACGTATACTAGAGTGATGTCAAGTTATGCAATAAGCTAAAACCGTTTTTGCTGAAAGTGACCATTAGTAAGGAAAACTCTGCCGTAAAATTCATCCAAGACGCATACCTGGTGAGCACGACATATCAGGTCAAAATCGTGCTTTTTCAGGAACTTGGAAACGATCTCGACTCCAAATGTATAGCTAACTCCGCGGTCATTCTCACCCCAGGTGACCACACCTTTGCTTGGGTCTGACCAGAGCACATCGCAAAGAAGTCCGTGTTCGGGTACATCAGTTGGCCGTACAAGGTGGCGAATCTGATCCATGTTGTCTAGCTCCGGTGACAAACCTAGTATTGGTAGTTAAAAAAGAAGAGCACTCTACCTCCATGGCAGCAGAAAATCTTCTCGTCAATAATAGCTGCGATCGGCAGGCAGTTAAAGCAGTCTGTGAACATTTTCCACAATTTGATGTGGTATCTTCGTTTGCCTTAATATTTTCAATTATGAAAGCGAACGGCGTACATTCATCGTAAAATCCATAAATCCGATTGATGGAGGCACACTCGTGATTGCCCCGCAGAAGAAAAAAGTTCTCCGGAAACTTTATTTTGTATGCAAGGAGAAGGCATATCGTTTCTAATGACTGTTTTCCACGATCAACGTAGTCGCCGAGGAAGAGATAATTTGCGTTCGGGGGAAAACCACCGTATTCGAACAGTCGAAGCAAATCATAATATTGTCCATGCACATCTCCACATATTTTCACTGGTGCTTCAAGCTCAAGTAATGCGGGCTGACGCAGGATAATCTCTCGAGCTTTCGTCGCAATTGAACGTATTTCCGCCTCAGTTAGGTGTACAGCTTTTCCTGGCCTGGATCCCTTTACTGGGAAACGTTCGGTTATGTTACTTTATATATTACCTTCGAGTAACTTTGCAATAATTGCGTCAACGTTTAACGTTTCCGTCTCCACCATCAAGACGCAAACGGAATACACTTCTCCATACTGAATTCATAGGTGTGCTGAAGGTCAGCCTCCATTGCGCTCAATTTGCATCGGAATAATAAAATATGCAGAACCCCAACTAATGGAATGTACTTTCCATAGGAATTAGACGAATATTGAAACTGAGCATAACCCGTTCGATATGTCAGAATATGTCTCTTGTCGGTTTATATTCTGTCCAGCTTGCTTTTTGCAATTTGCATTTTAGTTCGTCGAGAAGGCCTCCTCCTCGAAATTTTTTCACCATCAAGTCAACATAATCCAAAAGAGTCAGTCTAGCCAATAATTTTAATACAACAGACCCATCTTTAGGGTATTTTATGTTTTCTTCAATATCTCACGTAACAGAATTTACAGAACGAATACAAAGGTCGCAAATCTTCAAACACCGAGATCGTGTTTCCAACTATCCGGAAAACACAAAGTATTTCCTTTGTCATAATCTTACCCCAATGGAGCAAAGACTAGGTTCGAGCTCTTCTAATAAAGCTTCAACTTCACCGAAAACTGCTCAAGATCCAGGTCGTAGCACTATGAAGCCTAGAGGGTCACTTAGTCTTACTCCTGGCAAACCTGGTTTACCGACCCCGTTACTGCAACCGTCTCCTCATCGTCAAGTCACCCGACAAGTCCCCGTTCTTCTAAATTAGCTGTTTTCCCATTTGTCGTGGCTAATAGTTCTTGTGGCTCTCCTAGAACTTCTGAAAATCAGTCTACGTCAGGT